GGGAAAAGAATGGCCAAATCAAATGCTCGGACCCACTTAGGAAGTCCCCAGTGGAGTCGCCAACTGTCGCGCCCCACTTTTCGATGTTGAGTGGTGTGTAAGTTAGTGTGGAATATGTGAACGTGTGAAAGTGAAAATAAAAGGCCATGGGGCTTTAGAATGCGACGATTTGGCCAAACAAAGTTCAAAAGGGGGTTTTTAATGAAAAATGGAGTCGCCACTTGGTATAGAGTTAGGGTGTACCAAGTCACCCAGAAAGAAATTTTCTAAAGGAAAGATAGAAAGAAACCCCTTTTGAACGACTCCTAGTCCACGTAAACCAACGAAAAAGGTTCGGGAGTCACATTTGACGAAGGGGAAGGCAAGGATAAAATCCAAGGCACCCCTTCGACCTAGCCAAGGCTAGTTGCGTGATTTAGCCCCACCTTTCCTAATTTTTCTACCCAAAGTATGTATAGCGTGTTGGATAAGTCTATATGAATGCAAAAGCCTAGACCTAGGGGGACATGGGGGAAATTTCTCTTCAAGGTTGAGTGGTGCCAATCACATTAATCGTGAATCCCAACAATGATCCTTTTGGAGAGGTCACACCTAAACCTAAATGATGTGAAAAATGAGTGGATGAATGCATGCCATGAAAAATGTGAGTTTGTGTGAAAAAGTAATAAAAACAATAGTGTGAGTGGAAGTGTGCAAAGAAAATGTCCTTGAATGTGAAAATATACTCTAAGTGCCAGTGGGCAAAATGCATATATGTAATTAGAAGAATGTGAAAGTGTTGGGGTGCAAATGAAAAAGTGCTCGTGTGCGAGTGAAGGGATATAAAGGTGCACGTGTGCAAATGGGAGTAAAAATGAAAGTGTAATGAAGATGATAAGATGGATTTAAAGTGCATGATCCTAGGGAATGCATTCATATTGGGCACGGGGAGACCTAAATCGTGACTCAATTTTCCCTTTGATAGAGGGAATACAAGCGTGCTAAGGCTTAGAAAAAGCCACACTCGTCTATATTCCATATTTAAGGGGACTCTCACGCAAATGTACCCTATAACTAGTATGAGATGCAAAAATCCTAAAATGAGGGGAAAAGGGGCTCGAGGAGCATGCCAAATGATAAAACTAAGAAAAATGCATGAAATGTAGTGAACATGCAAATATGCACTAACGAAAGGGGTCCTAAAGGTCTAGCATTGGACTAGCCTTTTCTAAGAATTTCCCACTAGCGTTGGACTAGTGGAAAATGGGACAATGAATCACAACTAGCGTTGGACTAGTGTGGTGACGAGAAAATGGGCCACAACTAGCATTGGACTAGCGTGGTGACGTTCATTCATCCATCACATTCATTCATGATTATATAGAAAAACGAGTAGACATGCGAATCACTTATAAACACGTAGCACATAACACTTAGCATGCTCGACTAGATGCAAGGGCCTAATAAAGCAATTAACACATAACACATAGGCATGCAACCAAACTAATGAATCTATTACATTTGCTAACTAAAACAAAAGGGGAAAGGGAAAATGGACCAAATTGCTCGCCAAGCCCTATCTATTACAAGCCAAGAGGTGTACACATACCCCATAATGAAAAACTTAAATAAAAGTAAAAGTAAATGAAAGGAATGAAAGGAATTAAGGAAAGGCAAGGAAAGCGAAGTAGACATGCATATTCACATAACACGTAGGAGCACGTAGGTTCAAATGAAGTGCAAATAAGGGATAGAGTGTACCTCCCTTGAATTGATGCCCTAAATGGAGTGAAATCACTTATTTATCCTCCAAAATAAAAGAAATGGTCAAAGTACCAATTTATTTGGGAAAATTAAAGAAAATAGGCAAACACAAGCTCACTTGGTCATAAAGCCTCTAAAGTCATGATTTAAATGCAATTGAAACAAAACATAGTAATTAATTGAAGCAACAAGGAATTGAGTTGAAAAATTGAAGCTGTCAAGGATCAAATTGATGAAAATATTCAATTAATTGGGTCGTAGTAGAGCAAGGGGAGACTTGGGGGGTCAAAGTGCTAAATCTAAAAATTGTTTTTCATGCAGACTTCATGCAACCGAAAGCTTATGGTTTCTGCAACTTCAAGCTGCAATTCCTCCATATAGCATTCTGGTTTACGCGACTCTCAAACGTTTGAGCCATTTGCACAACAACAAGGGAAACAAGCTATAATCAGGGCATTCCAACAATGAAACTAACAATCCCAACCCCTCAATGTAATGGCCAGGAAAACAAGAATGCGCAAGACAGGGTTCTCGGTGGTTTTGCCTCTACCACTTCTGCTAGAATTTTCATATGCAACCTCCACAGTCTCAGCAAACTAGACGCACATAGCAACTTTGAAATTACTCCAAACGAAAACATGGCTGAACCCCTCTAAAGAATACAATTGCTGGAAAGGTTTCATGCAAGCTTTCACGCAGAACTACAAAGAAAATGAGCTTCTGCAACTGAGAGTGAAGCTTGCTACGTTTCGCTTCTACCGTGTTTTTGCTTGCTGCAAACTTTGCAGCTTCAACTCACGGGACAACTCACGGGACATGCGACTTAGCTAGCAAAGTGATGACTAAACCCAGTTTTTAGTGGGCTGATGCGAGGAGCAGGGAAAACAGCAAAACATAAAGACGCAATACAGCTTATTACGAACCCAGAAAATTTTTGCAGCCCAGCATTCATTATGTTCTCATGTGCACACAATGGACAATGCAATCAAGGAAGACTAAAAAAAACTGCCCAGTTGAAATGCATTCATACTTTCTTGCTGCAATTTGCAGATCAGATTTGCGCCAACGAATTACCAAGGCAAGGAAACAAGAAACGGAAAAAACAGCAATCAAGACAACATCAAAACAGACTTGCCGAAACTTCATACTATATTTCTAAGTTGCATCTGACCGGCAGCAAACAAACAACTTGGAGCATCAGAGATCATTAAAGGAGGAAAGCCCATGGCTCAGCCCATTTCATTCTCATGAAGGAAAGAAAACGCAAAAGCTGATAACTTTTAGTTGACGAAATCCCAACCAAACATGTTCAACAAACAACTACCGAAGCTATGCTAACAAACAATGCATTCTGCAGACAAACCATGTGTTCTAATGGCCCAGATACTAGTCACGTTCATCAAGCAAGAAACCCACGTCTAGTTTTTAGAAGGAACAGAATAAAATAAGGTTTACGACTACCTCTTTTCTGTCTCTTAGAATCAAACCACCGTGGATATGCTGGGATGAGCAAAAATTCGCAGAGTCCAGTTCGCAAACTCTGATGGAGGGCTGTGAAGCTCCAATCTTCAGGTCCGCAGCCTCCTCCTTTTCTCCAGTAGCCTTCCTTTTGTATTCTTTCTCTAACTCAGCCGCCACTAGCTATCTTCAAAAACCCTCGGCCAAAAACCTCCAGCTTTCTCTCCGTCCCCCGTTAATCTCCCTGGTTTCTTTCGTCTCAGCCTCCAACCGTCAAAGCTCTCTCCTTTTTCTTTCTTTTGTTGCCTTCTAAACCTCCCCGTTGATCCCTCACTCTTGCTCTCGGCCCCAGCCACTACTAAAACCTCTCTTTCTTATCTTTCTTAGCCGCTGTTTTTCTTTCTTGCCGTCCCCCTCTAAAACCTCTCTTTTTGTCTTGCTTTTCCCTCCCTCAAAGCTCCAACCTTTTGCACAGCCCTCTGTTTTCTCCCTTTCTCTCTCAGACCTCAGCCCAGATTTCTCTCCCTTGCCCTCGATTTTTCCTTCCGTCAGCTCTCTCCTCTAAAAACCCCTGCGGCTGCTGCTTTCCCTTGCTATTTATATGGGAATCCAAGTTCCTAAACCCTCACCCCAATGGTGAGGATGAAAGGCCTCCCTTGCCTTCACATCCAGCCCTCCAAAGTAGCTCCGTGGCTGTCCTTTGCACGCTGCAAAAAATTGCAGCGTGCATGCCGCAACATTTTTTTTTTTTTTGAAATTAATTAAAACAAAATTGATAATAAAAATAAATAAAAATAATTTAATTAACATTGGATAAAAATGATTAAACTAAAAGCAACAAAGTGCAATTTCCATTTTCCTCTTTTCTTTTTCCATTTTTCATTGTTTTTCTTCTTTTCCACTTCTTCTTTTTCCCTCTTTTTCATTTTTCAATTTTTCTTTTTTTCTTTTCATTTTTAGATAATGAAACTAAATCCAAAACAACTAAAACATATTTTTTGAACGCTTTTCTTTTTCCTTTGAGAAATTCTACGCTAAAATGGCTAAAATAACTAAAACTAAAAGTAAATAAAACTAATTGTGACAAATAAAAATAGAACAAATAAAAAACGTTTAGTAAAAAAAAAATAAATAAGCTTTTATTCATAGGATATCAATAAATAATGAATAAAACAAGGAAACTTGAATCACGGTTGTTACTGTTTAAGAACCTGGATTCACAGGACTATCTTGGCTTTACATTATTCGGCAAGTATGACAAAAGCATGAAACATGACACGAAACCTGGATTCATATGGTTAACAATTGACCATTATAATAGCATAAGAAAGTAATGGATCGGCTTGACTAAGGTGGGACCCACTGAATTCCATGTAATCAAAACTATGAATCAATGGCATGAATAACTTCATAGAAATCAATCTGAACATAACGACAAAACTATATCATGACATTCATCATGTAGACGATCCATGCATTTATAGTCAAAATTCAAGACAGTCTCGATTACCAAGAATTTTCTTGTTTAATGGCCTATATGCATGTAGACATCAAAATTTGGCTTTATTTTTTTAAATTTAATTTAATTTTTTTTTAATCTTTATCGATGTTTATTGTTTTTGTTATTTTTGTTTTACTAATCTCATTTTTAGACATTCTAGCATAAAATTGAAAAAAAAGAGAAAAGAAAAAAGTCAAGTCATGCTGCAAAAAGAAAAGTCATTTAAAAGATACATGAAACTATTTGGAGGATGAGATCTCGGCCTTTCATCTTAGGTTTAGTTTCTTTGGGGTGCCTTTAAAATGGAAGGAGCCGCAAGCCAAAGGGGGGAGGGTACGAAAGGCTAAAACAAATCCAAAAGGCTCTCGGTTGGGGCGGCTAAGAAAACAGGGGGGCTTCGGCAGAGGAGATAGAGAAAACCGAGAGAGCTCTCGGCTATGAAGGAGAATTGAAAGGGCTTCGGTGAACAAAAAAAGGCCAAGAAAAACAGAGAGGGAGGCTGGCGGAGAGTAAAAAAATAGAGCAAAACAAAGGAAGTGAAAAGGGGGCTAAGGGAAAGAAAACGAGAGGGGCGACCGAGGGCAAAAACTGAGGAAAAGGGGGTCGGATGGAAGACTAAAAAAGGGCGACGGAAAAGGAAAAAGAAGAAAAACAGAGAGCTGGGGACGATGGGAAAATCTGGAGAGCTGAGAAACAGAGGGCAGAAGAAAGCAAGGGGTTGGCGGCTGAGATTTTGGAGAGGAAAATAGACGGACTGACGGACGAAGGGATAATGTCGTTAAAGCTACAGAAACGGCTCGCCGCCAGCGTCCCCAAGTGCGGCAGAGGCAAGGTCTGGTTGGCCAATGGAGGCACTGAAATCTCCCTGGCCGATTCCAGAATGAAGAAGTTGAAGAGAAAGGGATGCCATTCTGGATACGGTAAGCACTCTTTTTTCCTTTCAAATTTTAGTTGTCTTTAAGCTCCCGAAATTTGTTTTCCATGCCTCTTGACTTGTAGTAATTTCCTGTCAATTTGGAGCACGTATGTTATATATGATGATTGGGTTTGAAATTCTTTTTGTTCTGATAATTTTTTAGGCCAGTTGTAACGTAATTGAGTAAAGTTTGTCGGAATTTTTACATGCCCATTCCCTGTTTGTTAAGATGCCCAAGTGAAACTTCTACTTGAAGGATGATTGATTCGTATTTTGTGTGTGAGGGAAATAGATGTTTGGTCAGTTTAACGCTTGGACAAAAACCTGATAGTTGATGATCAGGGTAAAAAAAAAAAAGAAAAAAGAGAGTTTTGAGAATTCTTGATGTGTTGTTGTTCTCGTTTGGTATTCTTGCCGGTTTTCTTTTGCGTATAAACTTGAGCTGCATCATGAGAGGAGGTTTGTGCGAGTTTATTCTTCTTTTGAGGATGAAAGATAGTTGGATTTTTGATGTTTTGTCCGAGAAAAACTGAGATGATAACTGATGTAGAGCTCAGTGGAGAAGATGATTATTTTGTCCAAATTGCTGCTCACGTTCTCGTTTTGCATCTTTTCGATGGTTTTCTGTAGCTTGCATCTATGTTAAATTTTGGTGGTTAGAGTTGCAAGGCCTTGTTGTTTTGGTTTGGGTGTTCGATGTGTGATTGGATGTTGTTTGCATCTGGTGCGAATTTCATAAGAAGTATAGTTGCAGAAAACATCCTGATGACATGCTCCTCCATTTTTGTTCTTTGATTGACATTCAAGTGTTGGTCTCCTACCTGTTGTGTTGCGTTTTGGAGCTTAATGGAATGGGTTAATGAATTTGATGATTTTGGTTTGAGATGGCCTAAGTTGCCTTGGTCGTACATGCTGTAAATTTGTAGAAATCAGTGATGAAGAAGAGTTTCTGTGAAGAAAAGGCTTTCTGCGAAGTATGAAGCATAAATTTTTGAAAATTACGAGTTAACCCCTTAATTTCTGTCTAATTTTATTGTGGCCCAAAATCTGGAAAAATCGAATTAGTTTCATCCTTTTAAGTTTAATCCTCTGTTTGCATGTTTTATGTGTGACTTTTTTTGATAGATTGATTTTGGAATTTAATGCATAATCAAAGCTTAGTAATTTTAGTTGGGTTTTTATCTTGTTGGGTTTAGTATTATGGTTTAGATTGTGGGTCATAACATTTGTTTGGGTTTATAAAATGGGGGTTAATTCATTTTTGTTTGGGTTTCTGACTTGGGCTCAGGAAGTAACAGCCCACTCTTTTGGCTGGGTTTATTTTGTTGTAAAGTGTAGGCTAGCCCGTTTGTCTTGTTTGGATCTCGATTTGGGGCTAAGAGGGGTTTTGGCCCAAGAAATGAATAGAACGGCCCAATGGCCTGGCTTGCCAAGAATCCGGAAACCAAAGTTGCAAATCAGTCCTCGGACTTTTCCTTGATTATATTACGGCCCTACAAACTTTCAATGCTTTCAATTGGGTCCCTAATGTAATTGCAAAGAAGTCCCTAAACTTTATTTTTCTTTAATTTTGACCTCAAAACTTTGTTAATGTTTGCAATTAAGTCCCTGCTTGTTTTACTTTCTTCAATGTAGGTTGTTTACATGAATTAACTAATTCAATTTCATGTTTATTTTCAATTCCATGATTATTTGTCAATTAAAGCGATGCCTTGACCCTTTCTTTTATTTTGGAGGGCAAATGAGTGATTTCATTTCATTAGGGACACCATTTCCAGGGAGGTATAACTTCTTTTATCTTTTTTTTTGTCTCTCCCCTATGTGATCCAACGTGCTAAGTGAGAATTGCATGTCTACTTTGCTTTCCTTGCTTTTTCTTAATTCCTTTCATTTATTTCAATTACTTTTGCTTTTATTAAAGTCATTCTTTTATTTATTTATGGGGTATGTGTACACCTCTTGGCTTGTAATAGATAGGGCTTGGAGAGCATTTTTATTCACTTTTCCCCTTCCCCATTTGTTTTAGTTAGCCAATGTAACAGGTTCATTAGCTTGATTGCTTGCTTTTATTGCTACGTGTTAATTTGCTTTATTAGGCTCTTGCATTTAGTCGAGCGTGCTACGTGTTTATAGGTGATTGGCATGTCTACTTGCTTTCTATAGTCATAGATGAATGCAATGGATGAATGCGTCACCGTCAAGGTTTGTAAAATCGGGATTCCACCTAGGATCGATTTTAGTTTCACAGAATCGGATCGTAGGATCGGATCGTAGGATCGTAAGATCCCACCAAAAGCTCCTAAATTTACTAAATTAATGAAATTGAAATTGATATACCATTTTGTACATCCTAAAAAATATTAAATAAATAAGTTACTCATCAATATATAGCATTTTTTACTTACTATCTGACAAGTAATAAAAAGATGAAGAAGTTACAGCCGACAGCATTTCAAGAATGTTTTGATTGCCAATTGCCAATCACAAAAGATCAATAATATGTTTACAATTTCGAATTAATGAAAAATAGGTACGTAGTTGAAGAATGAAATTTTTAGAAAAGTAATATTAATCAAAAAGGTATATATATGAATATAAAAAAGGTTATGCGTGTTAGAAGTGCATATACATAATAGGTGTGAATTGAATGTGTTAACGATCAAATATTGAACATTCATTACAAAAACTTAATAATATATATACATATATATATATATAAAGCTCAAATATTAAACGGGCAGAAAAAGTTCTGGCATTAGATTTCATTTCATCATTTAATTCAAGTATTTAATACTTCCTGTGGTTTCACTAATTAAAGTTGCCAAATACAAATTTCAATCATTGAGAAAAAAAAAGGAGCACCATCCAACAGAATAGAATTCCTGGTATCATATGATTTCCTACAATGTAAACGAAAAAAGCTTGAGAAAAAGTAAAATTTGTACATTTCCATCCTAATTTCACACGCCATTAATTAGTCACCATTGCACTCATGTTTAAACACTTTCAAAGTAGTATGAGTATGAGAGAGGAAGATGATGATTTTGCTGCTCAGCTTTTCACCCAATGCAGAAGATGAACTTTTTCTGCAATAGCTGTTGGCTGTAGCTTGTGGGTTCCTGGTAGAAGCCGCAGCGATTTGTCTTGTGGGTTCTTGGCAAGAGCTGTAGCCGAAGCTTGAGGTGGTTTGATGGTTAAAATTAGGGATTTGATTTGGGCAGCGGAGAGGAGAAGAGAAACGTCAAAGCTCTGCTTGAGGAGAAGATGAAGTAGGCCCGAAGCTTTTTGACGGAATCTTTTGATTTTGAGGCAAATTTTGTTAAAACATTGCAACTAAGGCCTGCAATTGAGTGTGAACTTACAAGCCTACCCCAAATGTTGACTTTTACTTGCAAAATGAACCTTGTATTCCACAAATTAGCAAAAATTTGTAGGATCGAAGTAGGATCGTAGGATCGTACGATTCTATGCGATCCTACCGATCCTATCTCGATCCTATATAGATTCAAGGAATTTGCGATTTTGAGTGCGATCCGGATCGATTTTGCCTTCCCGGATCGTAGGATCGTACGATCCTACGATCCGGATCGCGATTTTAACAACCATGGTCACCGTGGCTAGTCCAACGCTGGCCATGGTCTTTCCCCTCGAGCTTTCGCAAGCCCAATGCTTGTGAGAGAATTCTAGAAAAGGGCTAGTCCAATGCTAGACCCAATAGGTCGTCCCCTCTCGTTAGTACATACTCGCATGTTTCACTACATTTCATACATTTTTCTTAGTTTTTCTAGCATTTGGCATGCTCCTCCAATCCCTTCCCCTTCATTTTAGGTTTTTGCATTCTCATGCTAGTTATAGGGTACATTTGCTTGAGAGTCCCCTTTAGGTAAGGGAAACAAGCGAGTGTGACTGCAAAATAGCCTTAGCACGCTAGTTCTTCCTTCTAATCAAAGGGAAAATTAAAATCATGAAGATAGAAGTCATTCCCGTACCCGACTTGATGCATTCCTCTAGGTCCATGCACCTCCATTTTACCATATCATTTTTTATCTACATTTTCTCACTACTTATATTTTTCTCACTCCACATACCATGTCCACACACTTCTCTTCTTTCCCTATCACTTTTTATTTTCTACCTCACAAATTGCACCTAATTGTACTTAGATGCATTTACTACTATTATACCATATTTTCATCCACTTGCACACAGACACCTTTATTTTCTCAATTGGCACACATGCACTTTTCTTACATTTGCACACATGCACTTTTCTTACATTTGCACACTTGCACTTACGTTTGTATTTTTATTGTATTTTATTTTTGCATTCCTCTTACATTTTCACACTTGCATTCATATTTGGATCTTCATTTGCATTACCCGTGACCTCTATGAGAGTTTTCCTTATTGGCCATCACAACTCATGTGATTGGGACCAAAAAGCCTCATAAGAGACATTTTAGATTTAGGATTGCATTTTTTTCATATCCATTAGTCACATCCAACATGCAACACATATTTTGGGTAGAAGAATTAAGAAAAGAAGGGCTAAGTCACGCAACTAGCTTTGGCTAGGGTAAGGGAGTGCCTTGGGTTTTGCCTTTGCCTTCTCCCTTATCAAATGTGACTCCCGATCCCTTTCTTTGGTTACGTAGACCTAAAAGTTCTTTAAAAAGGGTTTGTTTGCTTTTCTTTCCAAAAATCATTTTTGGGTGACTTGGTACACCCTAACTCTATACCAAGTGGAGATTCCATTTTCCATTCAAAAACCCTTTTGAACTTTGTTTGGCCAAACCGTCGCATTTCACAATCCCACGGCCTTTTATTTTCATTTTCACACACGTTCACATACATATCCCACACACTACTTTCACATACTCAAAAAGTGGGGCGCGACAATGCATATATATCAAAAACGAATTCACGAGACAAAAAATATATGTATGTTTATACATAAATTATTAAATCCAAATTATTTCCCAATAATCAACCATATGAGTTCTGATACCACTTGTTAGGGTGGTTATCTAAATTTAACCTTAGGTGAAAACTATCACCTATTAAACCCAAAATCTATATGGAAATTATTAAGAAATAAATTAATAGTAAAATAGCGGAAGCGTACCTAGATTCATATTGACAAACTGATATTTGAATTTCCAAAGATATTGAGGTGGCCTTCCAGGTCAACAGGTATTTGTCAAACCTTGAGAGAACCCTTTAGTATCTCTCTAGTATCTTTCCTGACGAACGGGATATCAGAGAAAAACTATTTTTGTGGTACTAAAAATACGACAAATAGAATGATACCTGTGACCTGGGGACCATAACTCTATTTATAGGTAATATTCTTGTTACCCTTTGAAATCTTATTTCAGCCCATCATAAAAATAGGAGCCCTTAAGTCTCTACATATTAAAGGCACACATCCTATTAGATACATTAAGTCCAAACCATATTTGATCACTTTAATTGGACTTAACCTTATTTGACAGTTTGCATTACATAATTATTCGCATATAAATCCAATGTTGGATTAAGGATCCAACATATACTAGGTGGGATCTTGAGCAAATATGACTCCTTGGATGAATGGAAAATGGTGAATAAGGACATCGACTCTTATCTGACAAGAGAAGGCCTGCAGGAAAACAAAGGGATAATGCAGATTCTTTCTTTGAGTTATGATGTCCTTCCATACCATTTGAAGCCTTGTTTTCTTTATTTTGGCCATTTTGCAGAGGATCTACAAGTTGAGGCAATGTACTTGTATTGCTGCTGGATAGCCGAAGGAATGGTTGGGGGTCAAGGAGAAGAGACGTTAGTGGAAGTGGCAGAATAGTATTTGACTGAGCTGGTTAGTAGGTCTATGGTTCAAGTAGAAGTGACTGAGTTTCCCACAACAACAACAATCCGGTACAATTCTTGCTGGCTTCATGGTCATATGAGAGAACTATGTTTGATGAAATGTATAGAAGAAGATTTTCTTAAGGTTGTGGATTTTCAAGACAAATCTGGAGAAGTAAAATTCTGGGATCCTCATCCAATAATTGGCAGTAATGATACATATAGATTGGCTATCCATACAGACAGAGACGTTGATGGTGATGCTATTGTTACACAAGAAATATCTGAACAACAACTACGCTCCTTCATATCCATTAATCTCGGACAAGGTGAAAATTGGTCTGCAGAAATTGCATGGTCCCCAAAAATATTTAACAAGTTTAAGTACCTTCATGTTCTAGATTTTCAATTCTACAGTTTTGGGGACAACAAGATATTAGAAGTTATCGAGGAGCTGATCCATCTGAGGTTTCTAAGCTTTTGCAACTCTAATATGGATGAGTTGACATTGGGAATATTCAATTTGCCCTTCTTACAAAGCCTAGATCTACGGCTGGATTATTGGAACGTCCCCACCAAAGTGCCAAATCAGAATGTCAAGTGGAAAGCTAAAAGACTGAGAAACATCTTCTTTGAGAATACCGATGCAAGGCTAGTTGATCAAGGGAAATTCAGATTACTTGGTTTAGATCAGCTGGAGAGACTATCTAATTTTTGCAGTGAAACAATGGAAGTAAGAGATCTCTGCAAGTTGGTTACCCTTCATTACTTCTCTGCCACGATTTTTGGTAATGAAAGCCTTTCTTTAGTCCTCAGTTGCATTGAAGAGAATTGGCCCCGTATTAGACATGTGGAGATTCATATCAAGAATTGTCATTTTACCAGCTTGCAAAATGAAAATGGGGCTTCCAATCTTTTAAGGAAGGTTTTCATGTCCCGCAACCTACATGGCTTGTCAATCGAAGGAGGCCTAGGTAGAGGACTAGCCAATTTGGGATCAGAATTGGCAATAAAGCTGCATTGGCTGGAATTGATTCGATCTGAGATGGTAGAAGACCCCTTGGAAATGTTGGAGAAGCTTCCCAACCTAAGAAAGCTTCGATTGGTTGGAGCTTTTGTTGGGAAAGAAATGGTTTGTCATGCAATGGGCTTTCCCAATCTCAAACATCTTGTGCTCCAAGGATTGCACAACTTAGAGAAGTTGAGGGTTGATGAAGGAGCCATGTGCAATCTCTCTAGACTTCACAATTCACATTGAGGATTGCAAAAGGTTGGTGAAATTTCCCGATAGTTTGAGATTCTGTCGTCCTCTCATGGAGCTAAACATTGTCGGCATGCCAAAAAGAATTTAGTGATAGCATGCAGAAGGTCAATGGTCTTGGCAAATCCATTTTAGTGGATTAGACTAATAAAAAGCCAATAAGTTGATTTTATATGGTAATAAGGTATTGATATTTCTGCTAAACAATAAGGTAAAAAGGGTACTGGGATGCCTATTTCAAATAGAGCCGACAGAAGTGTATTATTTATTTCAATGAAAATGTGTACTGAACTTTGTACAGGGTGTTCATTTTCTTTTACATTTAAAATTAATCTTTTATACACTAATAATTTAAATTTTAAACTTTTATCATTAGATACATGATAAATAATTTAAATTTAAATTTAAATTTCACATTTTACATATGTATCATGCATTTGGAATGGATCAAAGACACTCCATCAAGACTTTGACTAACCCACTTCCATGTGACTCCCACTTCTCGTTGGATGATGATCTAAGAAAAAAATTTGCATAAAAGAAGTGCTACATGATGCTGAAAGCGTAGAGAGTTAGCACAAATTTTAACACAAAGTCACCTTGCAAACACCACAAGTTTAGCATAAATTGTTCAGAATTAAAGCCTGGCTGCAGTTTTAGTTCGCAATCCCAATCCGAGAGCCCCATCAATATATTCAGATTATTTCTCAAGATCTATGGATTTTACAAAACTTTAAAATAGAAATAGAATATGATTTTATTTCATAGCATCTACATTCGAAACTTTGATTTCTTCCTGCATCTTACATGAACCAAAAGAACACGTAACAACAGACAGAATTTTACTTTACCAGTATTATATTAGATGAGATGATATACAGGCAAGAGAAACAGGGAAAGAGATGTAACAATAGAAAGTAATCCGGCATTGGTGTTGTGGCCATTAGGAGGGCTTTTAAGACTCTCTTGGGGTGCTTGTTTGGGGATCAAATTCCCTTGTTAATATCTGTCTTAGTGCACTCGTCTAGTTTAGAGGTGGTTTAATTCCCTCTAAGTTTTCAATGGTTCCGTTGAATCTGTCATTTTTCTCCATAGTATAAGTATAGATATAAGTGTAAAATGTTAATATTTTGGTGAAAAAAATGAAAAGACAATCAATCGAAACCCACTAAACTTATATGAAAATATTAGAGGTTGAATCTGTCATCTTTTCTCATAGTACAAGTGTAGATGTAAGTGTAGAATATTGACATTTAGAAAAAAAACGAGAAAAGACAGTCAATCGAACCCACTAAACTTATGTAAAAATATTAGAGGTTGAGTAGTAAAGAGTAATGTTCCCTTTTAGAGCAAATTGTTTTGGCAAGAAAATTATCGTTCTCAACACATCACCAGTTTTTAGCTTTGCTTCACAAGAGCAATCAATTAATTCCGCCTTTTGCTTTGCCTTTTTCTTTGCATCACAAGAGCGATCAATTAATTCCATCCTTCTATATTAGGTTAAAGAAAATTGCCTTGCTTGGATTGCTTGTTTCCGTCGGAAAATATTATCGTTTTCCGTGATCACATTTTCCTATCACCTTTTTTCCTCACATATATCAAATCGCTACAGTAATTTTTCCATGAAAAATGACGGAAAATGCAATCCAAACACAACCTAAGTAACTTCGAAAAAGTGGACGGCCTAAAATCTGCTTTGATGATGAGAGCGCACACGCATTTAAGAGGAGGAGGCAAATTTTATTATGATTATTAAGCAACTTATAAAACATCCCAAAGTTATTGACCATGGCAAAGGTTGTCCTCGCAGGCTCCCCGAGGCCAAAGGGTACTGGTTCGTTCACAAGGGGTAAAAACGACACTCTCTTTGAGCGTTTAACAAAGAGAATTAGAGGATAGAGACCACATAATTAAGCAGGCCCCAAGTATAAAGTAATATGGGTCCCACACCTTGACATTTGGAGACAAAATGCCAAAGTCATGAGCTAGCCGTTATGACTTAAGCCCACACTTTTCCACCAAAGAAAAAAAAAACGTCAGAGTCTCAAATACTGAGAATTGGATTAATGAATAATGACAATGATTGAAGAAAAAGGGTAGAGAATTAAAGCCCTTTGTTTCTGCCCCAGAATTCGTCCCAAAAATTTTTCCTTTTTTGTTTTGAAGAATAAAAAAATGGCTGATTTCTCATTCCTTTCTGATAGTGATAATGAGAAAGCGGTGGATGAGTTACTCTCTGAAACAATGGATGAAGCCGTTCTTGAACAGATTTCAGCCATAAATTGCTCTGGATTCACTGATTCAAACCTTCCTGCTCACTTGGAAACCCGGTTTCAAAAGCTCAAATCTTTCCCATCGGCAAATTCAAAGCCTAATAAGTATTCACCTCACTGCCACTCTGCTTCCGCGTCAGTCTTCAAGAACTCAAAAAATGATGAAGATTCAGTTGAGGAAAAGGATTTCAAGGAGAATATAAATTCAGGGTTTGGTTCAATCCCATCAAAATCATTGAGTTTTTCTAACAAAGATGAGATTTTTCAGGATTCTAAGAAAAACCCTGACTGGAGAAAGGGTTTAAAGGCAAAGTCAGAAACCGAATTTTTATCAGCTACTTCGGATTCATTTGATTTTTCTGCTGAAAATGAGTTTTTTCCCTCTTCCAAGAAAATCCCGTCTGGGAAAAATAGGAAGGAATTGAAATCTCCTTCAGGGTCTTCTCCACTGCCCTCTGATTCTTCAAGTGAGGCATTGTCTCCGCCTCAGAAAAGTGGCTGTTTGTGGTGTTCTCCCAGGAAGTCTTCCTGCAAAAAGAATAAGGAGAACAGGGTTTTAAATGTAAGCCTTGATTGGGGGAAGAATGATGAGGTTTTAACAGATTTGAATACTTTCTCAGGAAAAAACCAGCAGAAATTGCTTAAGAAAGCTATGAAGGAAGAGGAGGAAATCAGTAAAGAGGCCGAGAAAATTGTTAAGTGGGCAAAGCAAGCCTCTGCCAGGATGGAGATTTCCTGCATTGAAGATGATCTCAGTGACAATGAGAGTTTCCAATGATGAAGGTGTTCTTGATGGCCAGTTTACACTCCGTTATGGTATAAAATTTCTTTTCTTCTGCCGATATTCTTTGAAGTGTTATTGTGGTTATTGCCAATTGTGTAAGCGTAGTGCGTGAAGTGTTAAGATTGGCTGAATGTGGACTGATATAGAGTAAAAATACAGAAATATATACACTATTTGAATGGGAAAACGTCAAAGGTTTATAACAGTTAGAAATAATGGCTTTGGAATCTCTGTTGTGGTGAATGTTTTTGTTTAGTATTTTGTAAGTTTGTAGAACTTGTTCATATTTCCTCGTGTGCTTGATGTTTTCAGTTGTTGAACAAACCTGTGTCATGGAACTAATGTGATATTCGAGTGTTGCTGATAGATTTAAATTGAGTTAATATAACTGATCAGATAGTGAAAGCAAGATATAGAAGAAAGGAAGGAAGTGCTACAAATATGATTGATTCGCAGAGCTTATCAGCATTTTTCCAGAATTGTAAAAGATATAGTGGCATCCACATTTTTCCTTGTCTGGAATTCATGTCTACTAAGTATCTCTGCGTGAGGATATTCTGTCATGGAATGCAAGAGTAATTGGAGAAGTCTATCCTAATCGATTAGGTTTTCCTTGAAATTTTCTTTTAAACCTGTCATTTAGTTCATGTCCACCAAGTATATCTGCATCAGGATATTGTATCATGAAATGCAAGAGTAATTTGGAGAAGTCTATCCTCATTGATTGAGTTTTCCTTGAAACTTTCTTTAAACATTTCATTTAATCTTTGAAAAAAGGTTGCCGCTGATGTACAATATTGCATAAACATGACTAGATAACCATGTGCCTTGAGGATGCTATAAACCTCAGACGAGGTAAGTCGAGGTGATGATGGTGACGAGGATGCATTAAGTGGTTGTACCAGTATTCCAAGAAGAAAATTTGGGCTTTACATTAATGTGATACAATGCCCTTGAATAGGTTGGCCGGGAAGTGGGCATGAGCAACAACTAACATTCATTAATCCCAAGAAGAATAAATAGGAAATGCTTTATGGGTTTGAACAGCATGGAGGATGAATCCAGTGATAAACATTTAGTTTCTAAGAATTACGTGTTAGATAAATTTGCTTACCTGTTTAAGAAATGAAACAAAGCAAAAAGAACAGAGCTCTATAGACAACACTCATAAGAAATGACTAGATCTGGTTGTTAGGGAAAGAAACATAGGAAACAAAGATGACGTGACATAACTAGAACAAAGGGGAAGGAGCTGATTATATCTTTAAAGTTAAGGTGTAAAGCAGGTACAGTTCTGTGAGTGGAAAGCCTAATTAATTTTTGTTGAATATATTGAGAGCACATGTTGTTTATTCAGTTATTCATCGAGTTTAGTCAAGTTTATGTCTCAGTTTGAAATAGCGGTTGCACCTCTCCAATGATGGACGATGTCCACATTTTATCTCAAACTGTTTCAGACTGATTAGCAGTAGTGTCCTACTACTTTACTGATCACTTTCAAACTGTTCTACTATTTTTTGTTGAATATATTGAGAGCACATGTTGTTTATTCAGTTATTCATCGAGTTCAGTCAAGTTTATGTCTCAGTTTGAAATAGCAGTTGTACCTCTCCGAAGATGGACAATGTCTACATTTTATCTCAAACTGTTTCATACTGATTAGCAGTAGTGTCCTACTACTTTACTGATCACTTTCATCTTCGATGGATCAATTTTTATTTGAGTCCATTACTGTCCCCAAATACAGTTTCCCAATATCAAGTATGCTGAAGAACATCTGCTGTTAGACCAATCTAGCCCCTCCCTCCTCCCCCACACCGAGCAAAAAAGTAATAAAAAAGAATATAAAATTCAAAAAAATGAATAAACAAAAGGAAAATCCCATAAGTTGGTTTGTATACGTTTTGTGTTGCCATAATCCAGGAAGAGTTTTTGTCTCTTTTCTTGAGGTACTAGTCTTGGTTGTCAAATTTTCTTGACTTCTGTTTGCAGTTCATATTTTGCAAACACAAATATGCTAGACACCCTTTGAAAAAAATTGGAGCTCTTTTTTTGTTGTTTGACATGAAATAATCAGTCCAATAGCTGATAGAAACCAAAGAAAACCATCTTATCTGATGAATGTGATTGCAATTCAAATATAACTTACATGTAATTCATTTGTTCTTTAGCTTCATTCAGTGGACTTGCATCATAGAAGCCTTCTAGTTAATCATTACCTTCTCCTCTTTTGCTAGTTTATACATGGTTTTGTGTGACTACAGAAGGAAAGAAGGATGTTCTGTGGTTTCTGATGGTAAAAGAAAAAAAGATGATCTGTCTTAGTATGTGGCTTTTTTTTGGAAACTGGCATTAATAGCATGGATATATATATATATAATATTTCTCTGCCTCCGTTCATCCTCTGAAATAAAATATTCCATTTTCGCTGGCTCTGTTCAACCTCTGAAAAAAAACTGTGCATAGACAATTCATCTTCAAGTGCATGACCTAAGAATCGATTCTACTACTGTAATCTGATTTGTTGTTGCATATGGGCGGATAACATACTTTTACTCTGTCTTGCTTTATTTTTTTCTTTTCTACTGTTTAAGTTTCCCCTTCTACTCTTCTACCACACCTAGGTTTCTTTTTTTGTTGTCATGTGGCAACTGTCAGATCATGCTGATTACTCTGCATAATGGAGTTAATATTACCAGCTAAAGCAAAGGTTATCTTTGCTCCAGAGTTCTCAGAAGAACAGATGTCAAAATGGGAGAACATACAGAGCATATAGATGGAAAAATTTTGGGATTCATAAATCTATTGATATTTGTCTGCTCTAAGTATGTAGGAGGAGCAATCTAATGTGATTTATTGAATGCTCTATATAGCTTGTATCATCTCAGATCCTGTTCTTGTCTGAAGTTTCATGTGTCTAAATCAGAATGGCATTGCTTATCAGCCAGAAGACGAAATCATGCACCAAAATTCACCTCTTACTGAGAGAGCCTGTGCAACATTACTGGATGCCCCTTCTTGACTCTCTTCTGATGAACTTGTGACTGCACTTTCAGATCTGACATTGTAGATGTTGGGTGTCTTCAAAAGTTGTTTTCACTCCAAATCATTTGCCCTGTCAGAACTAACACATTTTACAGCTTCTATTGCATCAAATTCAATCCTCGCATAGTTTTACTTGCTATGCTCCCTTGCTAAGCCAATCTTGTCACTGCATCCCTTTGGCTTGGAGAATTGTCGTATTGGACTTTCTCTTAGGCAACATGACAGAGGAGTTTAGCAAGTTGCTTTGACGTCTTAGTTACCAAATCATCTTCTGATGGGATTCCATTTGCTCAGACAACATAACTATTCAACCAGTCAGTTTGATGCCTGACGGTACTGAAATCATGAATTTGTTTTCCTCTATTGGTTGAACTATATACCTATCCCTGAGCAGCCCTAATCTCAGTTATGAGTCATGTTTTTCCATGTTCAAGAAGCCAGATACTAGGAAAGACTAGGGAAACACTCACTCTGGCCTTGTGATTAATTTTCCTCTTTCCCTCAAGTCTAAGACAACGTTTGACCTTCATTGTTTCCTCAGTCTTAGCTACCCTAGGAAACCTTGACATGTTAGGCTAGAATATTCCTGAGTCTTAGCTGCCCCAGGAAAACCTTTACACACTTGAACTTCTGACAAACACGGGGTTTCTAACAAAACATCCTCTGAAAATGCCTTGGGGCTTAGAATCTATTGTAAAATGTAAAACAAATCATTTCGTGTACAAAACGGATTGCAAAATATCAAAAACGAATACCATGTAATATTGACAACAAAATAATTTCCTCCTAAGCTTTTCAAATTCCATCACACACATACAGAAGATAATTTATCACATTTGTATCTCACCTCGTGTTGGTGTTCATTTGCGTCTCACCTCATGTTGATGTGTTCGTAACTTGAGGAGGAATATCTCGATTAGTAGCAACGTGTCAAATTCACTTAAACCTTTTGATGTCTTCTTTTAACATTACTGGAAAATTTTTGGAACTTAGTTCTTGGTTTCTCCAAAGAAAAAAAATTGCAACATCAAAAATGGATGCTAGGAAAAGCTTGGGCGGTGAAGAGAAGAATGGAGAAAAATGGAATTAAAAAAATAAAACTTGTGACGTTTTTAACTATCAAAGCTAATGCGACTTTACAGACGAGGTAAAATGCTATAAACATAGCATTAGCAGAGAAAGTACGAATTACGTCAAAATAAGGGGGGCTTAGTGTATTTAACCCGTTTAGACAATAATGCAAAAATCATTTTATTCATCTATTCCATTTAATATATGGACATCCACAAAAATGAAATCAATAGGTCCACCTTTTTAAAGCGCTGCAATGGATCGACTCTAGCTGATTTATGAGTTTGTGACAGCCCCACCTCTCCCTAGGGTATATCCGAGGGTTTGGCGGATCGCCTGCCTAACTCTCGTCAGGACTCAGTCACGTATCATGAAGATTTACAAATAATAAAAAAAAACCTTGATAACAAAAGTGATATTAATTACAACTTTCAATATAAATACACTCATGGGCCTCCAATGTCCACACAACTGTAATACAGCAAAGGAGTCAAACTTGCAAAAAATCTCAAACCAACCAAGTCGGCTAAACATCTATGAAGTACTCACGCAAGTAGCTAACAAAATCGAGACAAAATCTATGTCTTTTCCACTCCCGTTCTCACGTTCTCACTCCTGTAAGGAAAACAAATGGCATGGAATGAGTTAAAAATCCAGTGAGACTCCAAATAATCAAACAGGTAAAATAAGAGATAAGGTAGCATACCCAGACATCAAGAAACAAGTAAAACTTGAATAGATCATGACTCAGTATATAGTTAAGCAAGTAGCCAGATAGATCATGCAAAAGTGTACAGTAAAGAACACATTCATGGCAAAGGATATAGGTTGCTCTCAGGAGCAAGTTCCACAATAACTTGATCAAGGTCCGTTGACTCTCCGTCAACCACGAAAGTATAATGTCCGTAAATCACCACTTTACACCAAATTCCGTCCACCAAACATACCTTTACCGGGGCCGAACGTCAAAGTACCCAAGGTTCGTCGATCTCCTCGACCAAACCCTTGCCGGCTCGATTCGACCAACTAATCCTGGGTTGAACTTATAGTCCCAGATATACAGAAATTCAGAATCTGACTTATAGCCCCAAGTATTCAGTAATCAGAAATGGAGTCGTTGGCTATTATCCAACTCTCATATAGTAAAACATTGGAGACGTTAGTTGTCACTTAACGCTTTGTATTCAATAATCCAGAATAAATAGGTTAGGAACTTGTCATTTATCCAAGGTTGCCCAGTTTACCCGACCGCTCTGAGGCTGGTCTAAAGCAAGAGGTCCAACGAGGGCGCAGTTCAGCCGTTGCCGACTTACATTTAAGCATACGCATGAGTAACCCTAGTTTCCACTTACCCGATGTCTCGGATAGGGTCCAAGGCCCAGTTCAACCACTACAAGAGAGATGTAGCTGGTCTACAATTTAATCGCTACAAGAGGGTAGTAGCCAGTCTACTTTTCAACCGCTACAAGAGAAATGTAGCCAGTCTACTGTTCAACTGCTGCAAGAGGAATGCAGTCGGTCTACAACCATGCACATAAACATGCAAGTCCATACGCAGGATCGATTAATTCAAATTCATGGAGGTCGAGTGCGAATAAGGACACACCCGCCTAGCCATAATCAAGTCACAAGTAATGTTCAGCAATTCACGTTCTCAAGCATTTCAAGTGTTTCAAGTCAATATACAAGTCACATACCCATCAAGTCACTGGTTCATGCATAAATATGATATCAAGTGTTTAGTCAAGTCAGGTCATTTGAGTGCACCTAAGATCACACTCGCCTAAACGGGCTCAAATCACAAATAAGCTCAGCATATCATGTTTCAAATATTTCAAGTATTTCAAATCCAAAAAATTAAAACTGGGTAGGTGCGAAAATCGGATCAAACAAGAAAATTGGAGGAGAACTACAGAAATCATAAATTTCCTCAGCAAATCCGGCCACAAATCCGGCCAAATATTGGTCGGATTCAAGGCCGGGTTGACAGGGAAGGCAGAAAAATTTTGAGTACTTACTGCCCCGAATCCGGCCAGAATGTGGCCAGATTCTGGCCCCATTTCAGTTATAGAAAATGGCCAGCACGTGTTTTAACACAATATCAAATGTTTAGTCGAGTTAGGTCAAGTGCAATAAAGTACACACTTGCCTAAGAGATGATAAATCAAGTACCTAACAACTTCTAGCAACAAGGAGCATGTAATACACAGTTGGAACACTCACCAATCAATTGCAACCCTTCACTTTAACCCTGGTTTGTCCCCTTGAACTCTCTCGAGTCCTGTGGTCAAATACTATAGTAAAAGACTAGCAATACAAAGCCAAAATATATGAAGAAATTAAGGTTCCAAAACTTTATTTAGAACATGCATCAATTTACAAGTTTTAGACCCGTATAACCTATCAAAATATAATATTTGCTTGCTCCAATCGAGGAGTAAACCTCATGTACTTATCAATCAACGTTGCAAAAGTCATTTAGAGCACAAGAGTATCACTTATAGTCGAACGTTTGGAGAAATTAGAAAAGACGTTCATAATACAAAGTTGGAACTTGTCCAACCTAAAATGATTTGAAGAAACTCATTTCCTTTCATTTAACCCTCAATTCCACTCATAAAACCAAGCTCCAAATGGTGTAACAACTTTAAATTAAAGTTGGAAATGAAAGTAAGAACGGTTCTAAGAGAATGGAATTTTTCAGTTTTGCAAAACACTATTTGAAAAATCATATCTCAAGCTTCTTAAGTCCAAAATTTATACACTTTATACCGTTGAAAAATAGACTCAAAGGATTACAATTTCTTAGAAGACACATTTGTAAGATTCTATCCATAAGTTAGTCAAATTCGAGCCTCAAATTGCTGCTTCATCCAGTAAAAGACAGAACAGGTGTGGAAATTCAGTCAATTTTGAAAAATCACAGATATTCATAAGAATTGAGAAAAATTATGAAATTTTCATGGTTGAAAGTACCCTGAATCTAGTTTCAAACCCAATAAACGGAACTCAATTCCGAATTTTCTACACCAAGATATAATAGATTTCCTAAAACTGCTCAAGGTTCCCTGCGGACAAATTTTCAGCAGCACTTCCTTTGTGTTTACCAATTTTTCCAGCCATTTCAAGGCTTCATTCTCACCACAAAACAGCCTCAAATCAAGCACATACATACCAAGCCAACAACTCACTAAATCAAGCATATATATAGCATATAACCATCATCTACTCAAGCTAGAAAATGAAACCCTAAGCTGAAATTCCTACTCACAAGCTCGAATTTTCTTTAGGCAAGTCAAGCTAGCATACAAAAACTAGATTTTTTACATAATAAAGCTATCAAACTATGGCCAACCCTTAAGCATCATATATAGGCACAAATTTAATTTTAAAATTTGAAAATTTCCATGTCACCACTTCAAACCATGAAATATCTCATAAAACTACCAAAATTGAAACCTTAACCCACTAGTTTGCAAATATTAGATGTAAAGGAAAGTTTCTTGCCATAAATACCTTAGAACCTCAAGAAAGATGGAAACTTAGTGCTTCTCTCCCAAAAATCTCTCCACCAAAACCCTTAAGTTTCCTTAGTGATCAACTTTTATGGAGTAGTTTACAAGATTATCGGTTGAACTCAAGATTCAAGCAAGTTTTTGAGGTGGAAGATGAAGTTTTCTTTTCTTGTTTTTCCTCTCAATGGTTCGGCCACAAGAAGGAGAAGAAGGAAGGATTTTTGCTTCAAAATTTCAAGATAAAGCCAAGGATAGTTTTGGTCAAAAGACTAACTAGATGGCCGACAAGTGTCGGCCTAGGGTTAGAAGCTTGATCTTTTTTGTCTCTCCTTTGACTCCAAGGTCTTATCTAAGTTGGTTTCCTTTAATCCACTCTTAGCACTTCTAGTCACACAAACCTTCTTAAATAATTACCCGTTTTGTCCACTAAATTTATTACGCAACTCACTAGTGGGTCCCGCCTCCATAATGCGCTACTAACATAACATGAACTAACTTATACAAGGAAAATGATTTAAAAACTTGACTCACTTATAAAAATATCTAGGAAATCAAGGTAATAAATTAAAGTA